CATTACATATTGAGATATACAATGCTTCGTTATGACATATGCATAAATATTGTATCGGTATTTCAAGTTTACTAATATAATAATAATAATATTAATAATAATAATAATTTAGTATTATTAGTAGAATAGTATTGTAGAAGTTTTGTAATTAGAAATAAATATTTAGTCGATAATTAATTAATCGGTTTTAGTCGAAATAATCCAAATAATTACGCGGTTTATTTTTAGTAATTTTTGGTTGATTCGTTGGGTGGTGTTTTTTTGTTGAAAAATGTGAATTAGCCAGTGATGTTATTGCCTCTATTTATGGGCAAAATATTAAGTTGTAGGCTTATGGCCAATGTTGGTTTGTTGTTGTATTTCTATGGGATTTTTATTGTTGATATCCTAACATTCATATTGTGTTGCATACATAGCATATCAAGTTGGAGCTGATGCTCAGTAAGTTGACCTAGATTGACAAATTAAGTTGAAGGTTTATGCTTTGTTGATGCCTCTATTAATTGGCAGATTTTTATGTTGGAAGTTCTGCTCCAATGGTACCACATGCATGTGCATTGTAACGAGTCGCATTCTGTGTTGCATATTTAAGTTTTTGTGTTATTGACTTGTGATGATTGATGTTGGCTGAAAGTTGTGAATGACGATTTTATATAATCCGATCTAACATATTGTTTATCATACACTCAATTATATTGTTCAATATCTCACCCATTCTGTTTGAATGTTGCCCTCTGTTGATAACATACAGGTAATCAAGAAGGATAGTTGTTACCTTCGTTAGTTCGAGTCGGTGTTGTCTCTCTGATACGTAACACCTGCGGGGATGAACACATGTTTTTTTTATTGTTGGTTTTTATTATGTTGCTGAATTTTTAAGTTGTTTTCATTAAAGACTTGTTGTCTTAAAGTTGTTTTGAGTTGGAAAAGATGTTATGGTGTTTTCAGTTGAATTTTGTTATTCCGCTGCGTAGTAATGAAAGTTGTTTTATTTTTAAAGACTAAACAGGTTGTTATCGGTTCATCCAAATTTTATGTGTTATGTATTTGAATCATAAGTGATTGAATGTCGTTGTTTTAAGTCGAAAGTGTAACATTTCATATGTTATTGGAAATTTTAAAACTCTAATTTTATATAATTAGTTGGATAGAAATGAGATATTATATTATACATTGTATAGGCTCAATTGTAAGTGTGTGGATTATGATTTCAAGTGTGTGAGTAGATATTTATTTAGAGTTTGTTAGTGTGATTCTTGTGAAATTTGAGTGAGGAATTGTGTGAGGTCTTCTGCAAGCTATAATTGAGTGAAGTTTGTGTGGAGATTTTGAGAAGGAATTTGAGAGATTTTGATGTTGATTTTGTGGGGGAGTAGAGAAAGATCAGTGGGTTTGTTTGTTGTATACCATGCGTAAGCTTTCTCTTTCTTGTAACAAACTTAATGTAACCCAAATTCAATGTTAATTAAAATAAAATTATTTCAGCTTTGTTCAATTCAAATCAATTTTGTTAATTTTTTTTAATTTGAAATTTGTCTTGGTGTAATATTGTGGCCATGTGATGATAATTGGTGAGATGAGGATGAAATGTTGAATCTACTTTTTTTTTTGGGGTGATTTTTTGGCTTATTTAATATTTGGAATGTAACAAGGATTAATTCAAATTGGTTTATTTAAATTTCAAACTTGATGGAAATGAAATAAAATCGTGTGATGTTGCAAATGAATGTGGAATTCTCAATTTAAATTCTTCTCTAATCCTTTTGTTTTTTCCTTGCCAATTTGAAATGTAGGTGATGATGATGATGGTAATACACCATGTATATGGCTTGGCTAAAAATAAATGTAGACTCAATTTCAAAATTGAGATTCTAATCAAATTTGTATTGTCTTTGTTGATTTTAATCTTGAATTAATCCAATGGTGTGAGTTTGGAAAAATGAATCATGAAATTCAAAACCAATTATACTCACACCTTGTTTTGGTCATTATTTTGAATTTTGAATAAGGTGTAAGGCTTAATGGTATTCTTGAATTGCAAGTTCAAATCTCCACCATACATTCTATTCAAATTCTCCTTTTTGTTATTTTCCTTACGACCATGTGGTGATGACTAAATATGTAATGAATGATGAATGTAAGTGGAATATTCTATATGTCAATGGCCATTAGTCAAAAATCCTTTGAATTGACTTTTGGAAATTAAAAATATTAGGAGGATAAGATGAACAAATGTGTATGAATGGTGTACATAAACAATTCAATGCATATGACGCATGTAAAATAAATGTAAATGCATAAAGGGAATTGAACCTTGCCCTTTTAGCTCGAGTCAATATTTCGTTGATTTTTGTTGGACTTTGACTTTGTTATATGAAGATGAGATTCAATGACCAAGAGATGATCCATGCTTATTATAAAAACAAAAATGACTTATGAATGCAACCATGATCTAGGAACCTTTTATCCTAGCATCATATGAAATTTAAAATGCCCATATCTAGCTGATATGAGAAAGGGTAGGGAAAAAATTAGATTGTAACAGTTGCCCCTATTTAAGTACCTTTAACCCGAGAGTATGAATAACAACAGTCTTCATACCTTCGAGGTGGAAGATAATTTAATACAGAAAGACTCAAATTTTATCCTTCAAAGAATATATGGTGCGATAGACGAATTCATGAAGGGTTAACCTTGCTGGGGATATGAAGGGTTTGCCTCCACCCACTGGTTAGGGTTTCGCTTTCAATGACAAAAGCATTAACAGAGAAAACTCTCAAAAGACAAAACAAATAACAATTGAAAGATTATATGAGCATTAACAAAGAAAACTCTCAAAAGACAAAACAATCAACAACTGAGAAAATCTCTTAGCATTAACAGAGGAAACTCTCAAAGGACAGATTGATTAACTACTCCAACCGCTTTCGCTGGTAGGTTGATCAACACTAGAAAATACGATTAACTAATCCAACTACTTTTACTGACAATATAATCAAAATGAAAGATTATATGAGAATTATTTTCTTGACTTTTGTTGGGCTTTGACTTTGTTATATGAAGATGCAATCCAATGGCTAATAGATGATGCATGCTTATGATAAAAACCAAAATGGCTGATGAATAAAACCGTGATCTAAGAAGTTGTTATCCTAGAATCAGATGAAATATAAAATACTCATAGCCATATGATATGAAAAAGGGTAGGGACAAAATTGGGGTGTGAAAATTTTCTAATTACTACATTAGTAAAATAATTCAAGTGGCAGTGGAAAAACAATTTTTTCCTTAGGCCAACTCTTAAAATCCTTTTTTACTAATTCCAAACCCTCAAATCATTTTGTCATTTTTATCCTCTCTCAAATCATACCCAAGGAAATAAGAAGATAAGGAAGAAATTTGAAGTCCTTCATCTTCAATCTTGCATGACCAATCAAAATAGCTTTTTTGAATAGTCTCCTTCCAACTAAGCTTCCAATCCTCTAATCTTATCCATCTATTTCAAGTTTTTCATTAGATGGGTTCCATAGTTAGTTTTCCTTGGGTAGACATTTGGGAATAATACATGTTTGTAAAAGAGGATAGATTGTATGTGAATGACATCCTATGCATGATTATTGTGTTTATTGTTTTTTAGTGTTACAGGTGTAGTCTAAATTTTTTTAAGGTTATTTAGTTGGTTATTATTTGAAGAAAATAATTTGTGTGTTTTGTAAAGACAAGATGGCGGTTCCTTTTCTAATCAAGAAGATTATCAAGAAGCATTTCAAGAGGTTAATTAGGCCTTAAAGTGACAGGAGAATATGTGTCAGGTATGTCCATGAAAATTACTTGTTTTTATATGTTTTAGGAATTTGTAAGCTCTATTAGTTTTTTTTTTGGTATATTTTGAAGTTTTTGGGTCTTTGTTTTATCAAATGATTTACTAAATGTTTGGAAATTATTTGGAGATACCTTTAAGGTATGTTTAAGCTCTCAAGATCAACAATATGCCTTTGATTTTGTTTTCTTATACTTATTTAGCTCATATCAACATTATGTAATATTTAGATGTCAAAAACTAAAGTTATTTTGTGTATCCCTGTGATTATTTGGAACTTTATAAATTTAAAAACTTTTGAACTATTTGAATTTAGATTTTATATTCATGCATAAATTGTAATTTTTCATATTAGAGATTAGATAGTAACTATAAGAGGAATCCTTACTTTGTATATTCTACTATTTCTGAAAATAATTGTGTGTCATTTTCATTTTTTATAATATTTTATGTTTAACCTGTGTAGTGATAGGTTTTTCTCTGTGACCCATCCTTCTTTTGGATTTTGGCATACCAATCACATTGACTGATATTTCTACACTATATGCTTTATCTTCTATTTATGAATTTCATTTTTTGTTGTTGTTCTGTATATGTTGTTTGAATCTTCCAAGAAAATTGATTCCTCGGGGTTATGGCGTGTATCTTATTTATGTTTTGGTTTGCAGGAAAGTTGGCGTAGGCCAAAGGGTGTTGACTCATGTGTTAGGAGAAAGTTCAAAGGAGATATTTGGATGCCCAATGTAACACCCTTCTAAACCCAACGAAATGTTTATAATTATTTAAAATAATATCAGAGTAATACAACAAAAGGACGTCACATTTTATTCGTGAAATAATTATACATGCTAGTCTTACTCCATAACACGGGTTTTCAAAATTATTCATGACATACGCATTATCAATGTTTCACATACTTGCATTGGAATCATAGTTCAAAAAAGTTTCATTAAAAACACTTCATAGTGCATGTAATACGGTGGGAGAACTGACTTGGGTGTTTTGTATTTTATCACAAATGTTGCAGATAGCAAGAGTCATCACCGACTTTTATTTTATCCAATAAAGGAAAGGGTGAAAAGAACAGGAAAGACCTTTTGTGAATTTTCTTGAGTTCGAGGGGTAGGTTATGAAAAGGGAAGGTGTTAGTACCCTTTTCATCTGTAGTTATCTACGGGCTCTAAATTGCTAACTCACTTTGAAATGCTTTGTGTTTTATGTAAGTTTGAAAATATTTTGAAAACGCCTTTGTTCGACAAACTTTGCAATGATTCTCGTATCGTTGAGAATGTATACAAAGTTTTGATTTTGAAAATATTTGTTGAAAGTGAGTGTTTGGAAAGATGTTTTGAAGATGCCAATGTAAGGCAATTTTGTAATGATTCTCGTATCTTTTAGAATGTATACATAATGTTTGTTTTGAAAAGTGTTTGAAAGTGTGAAGTATGAAAATGGTTTTGTTAGTGAGCAAGCAATTACAAGCAATCTACCAACTCAAAAAAAAATTTGTTCTTTTCCTCCTCCTTTAGATAGTGCTATTTTACCATTGGTTGGTAATGAGCCTTATCATTGCATGTGAGGGACGGACATGGGTCATCGTACAGTCATAGAAGGCAACTTGTAAGATACTTTAACAATTGTTTTCGGGGACTAAGATTGTTTATCGAAGGCAATATCGAAGGATTATCGAGGGACTACAATCTTTTAATCGAGTGTCTTTGCTAAAACATCCCACGTTCGAGAGACATGATTGTTTATATCCGAGGCATCAAGTGGGGTTAATCCTAGAGGTGTGAGTGTGCCAAGTGTGTTGTGATTCAAGTATTTATCTTAGATTAGGTTGTCTAGTATTTATTTTAAGATCTTGCCATACAATCCTATTAAACTAATAATAATAAGGAAAGCGGTAAGTTGCGGAAATTAAATGTCCTACGCTATTACAAGGCTTTGGGGCAATTACAAAATAGTAAAGTGCGAAAATTAAATATCCTACGCTATTACAATGCTTCGGGAATAGGGGTACAAATTTTAAATGGAGAGAAAAGCAATAAACTCTAATTATCTATTACAAACCATGTACATAAATAATAATGCAAAATAACAAAATGCGCAAAAGAATATGAAATAGAGGAAAGAATTGTTTTGATGATTTTTTATGGAAAAAAGTTTTATAATTAACCTAATTAAACTAATTAATTCTAATTACAAGAGAAGTTAATTAATATTTTAATAAAACCTAGAAATCTAAATTAATTGAAATTAAGAAAATAAAGCCTAAGTTTAAATGATTTGTTTAGAAAATAATTTAGATATTAAGGTTTAGAAATTTTTTGTGAAATAATAATAAAAGAAAACCTAATTCTAATTATTGTTCAAATTAATTAACAAAATAAAGCAAAAAATGATTAAATCAAATTAATATGTAATTATGAAAATTAAGTTAATTTATGAAAACATAAACCTAAGTTTCTTTTATGATTTTATTATTTTTTAATAAAATTATTTAAAAGAAAAGAAAATGGATAAATTAAAAAAAAATTAATGGGCCCGAGTATAATAGAAATTTGGGGGTGAAAAGAACAGAAAAATATTGGACCCTGTCCAATTTTTGTTTGAAACAAAACAAAAAAAATAAAAATAAAAAGTAATAGTAATGGACCAGCGTGGTGAAACAGTAAGGGGGCACTGAAACAGGTTCACTAGGCCCAATAAGCTTCCAATATTGGATCATGTGTGTCTGGGTTATGGTGGTACATCACGTGGGAACATTTCTGGGGTCGTCTGATCTGGATCTTGGGTTTGTGAGTGGAGGTGTACGATTGCTATGGTGGAGATGTTGCACGGAATCATCAACCTGTGACCATGAGGGTGGTGATAAGTGTCACCACCATATTAATTGTTAATAGATTAATAAAAGTAAAATTTTAAACAAAATAGAAAAATATATTTTCCTCTTCCCTTTGTTCTCTTGCCTCTCTATGTGTTTAGGACTCGCCGGAAATTTCCCTAGCGGTGGCGGCAGGCGGCGGCAATCATGGCATCTTAGCTCCTATTCATGATTTTTTTACATCAATCTCTTAGGTTCTTTCTCCTCTGTACTAATCCGGCCTTTCATTTCACAGGAGGTGAGGGATTTGACCTAGATCTTGAAAGGGGGTTTCGAAACCCTAGCGCTTGGATGTGACCTCCTTCGTCGTTTTTTGGGTGAGACCGGTCTAAACTTCTCTTCCTCTTCCTCTTTCTGAGATTCTGAAGGGATTTATGTTTTAGGAAAATGATGAAACAAAGATTAAGGTTTTTTGGTTTGTGGCTGTTTCTGTATATTTTTGTATGAACTTTTTCTTTTGCCTTCTTTGTGAATAATTTGAAGGGTTTGATGATACTGTAGAAGATGATGAATCCTTTAGGGTTTTTGTTGTTGCGGCTATGTTTCTGTATAATTTTTGTATGAACTGTATGTTGGGCTTTTGCTTTTTCTTTGAACGATTGAGGAAGATGATTTTTCAATCTAGGGTTTGTGGTTTTTTGCCATTGTGTTTCTGTCTTCTCCCCCTTTGAACTTTTTTTTGAGCTTGATTTTAAGGAAAATTATGGAAGAGAACATCCTTAGGGCTTGCATGTTTTATGGTTGTCTATCTGTATTTTTGTGAACTGTCCCTGTTGCTTGCTGACTTTGTGTGAATTCTGATTTTCTGTACTGTCTTTTCAACTGAGTTTGTACTTGTGCAGTACATTACTTTTTGAGTTTTTAACTTTATTGTGAACCAAACAAGTTCCTTTTGTTTGAGATTTGTAGTAGAGGTGATTGAGCCTGTTATGCTGAAATCGTGATTTTGTGAAAGTGGGTTGAACTATGATGCTTTTGACTTGTTGCTTTATCATTTTTCTGCTATGTTATGATAAGCCTTTGTGCTGAGGTGTGAACTTTGTATATTTGGGCCTTGAACCTGTAATTATGGCTTGTTGTAACCAGGCTGGTCTTTTACAAAGTTTTCACTTTTGATTTGCGATGCTTCTTGTTGTGCTTGACAGTTCTGTACTTGCGACTATGATGAACCTTTTTTCTGAGTTTTATTTTCTTTGATTTTGCCTCACTTTGAACCAAACTAAATTTGTGATTTGTATTAGAGATGAAACTTGGCCCCTGATTGGATTCAAATATCATCTTGTGAAAAACAATGTATGAGGCTTTGATTGTTGTTGGGTTTAAACATGACTGAAAACCACCCTATAATCTGATTCCTATCACAAACCCTTATGATGAAATTCAGAAACTCTTGCTTGATAATTTCTTGGTTTATTTTCAAGTTTTGTTTGCTAACCAATTTGTTTTTTGTTTCATGTGATGTTAATGAGGAACAGATGAACTTGAAAGGCATAGAAGAGGACTTGAGGAAGAAGTCGAGGAAATGGCCATGAGGAGCTTGAAGATTTGAAGTAGAATTTCTTATAAAAAATTTATCATTGAATGAACTTTTGGATTTTGATAAAATAGATGAATTTCACTTATATCTCGTTTACCATTTGGATGAAGGTTGAATAAAATTGTGATGGTTGATGAAATTGCTAGTTGCTTGACACTTGAATGGACTTGAAATTTTGAATGAGAATGTCTTGGAGAAGTATTGTGAAACTTGTAGGATTTGAAATAATTGTAATCAAGTTTAGGAACTTTGAATGTACATTTAGATTTTGAATTGCTTAAAAACGTATTCAATTTTCCCCTTTCTTCCTAAACTCAAGAATGTATTGAATTCTTTTGATCTTCACTTCAAAACCCATCATCTTCCACAAGAAAATTTATATTTTGAATTTAAGGTATTTGAAATGAGATCTACAAGTTACAAAATTGGCTATGCGAAGTACTTCTTATCATAATGACCAGAACCTTAATTTGTGAGATAAGTCTATTTATATTTTCTTTTATGAACCACAATCAAGTATGCCTTGACTTAAGGGAAAGAGATTTGAAAGAATGAAGCATGATACAATATCATGATAGATGTTGAATGATCATGATAAACATTTTAATCTTGTAACTTGAATACCAAGAAAAACATGTAGACCATCTTTCCAAGCTTAGCACACACTTGAATGAATACCTCAAAATAATCTTGATCAAAAGTAACCCACAAACTCATATCTTGCGTCTTGAATCACACTTTGTATGATATGAATGAAGATGATGCTTCAAAAATATTGCTCATAAAGATGTCACACACTCCAATAGTCAAAGAACCTAGCTCAAGGGCCAATGGATAGGAGAAAAATGTGATTCAGATTGAAATACTTGCAATTCTTAATTCTCGGATGAAACAAAGAATCAGTTGACATGTCTTGGAGTCTGAGAAGGCTTGGTAGTCTTGAGCAGTTGGAAACTCTAAGAGAATGTCTTGAAGAAAAGGGAGGGAAAGTTTTTGAGTACAACAGCTGCCCCTGTTCAATCTTCTTAAACCTGAAGAGTTAGATTGGCGCGTCCGCCATTCGCAACTTGAAGGTAGAAGATGATTGAACACTTAAGTGCTTAGAGATTTACACTCGCTTGTGCAAGAAGTAATGTTGTCGGTTGATTGTATCGGGAATGGGCTTAGAGATACCATTTGGAGAGATGACAGAATATTGTCGGAGATGGGCTTATAGATGCCATTTAGAGGTGATGGAGAGTCGTCGGAGATGGGCTTATAGACGCCCTTTGAAGAAAATGTTGATAGAAACTAAAATAAGTCTACGATGTACTTCAACTGGAAAAAGTATCAAAATAAATCTTTGGTCGATTTAATCTGAGCCAGAAAATGTCTACTGAGAGAAGTATCAGAATAAATCTTTGGTCGATTTAATTTGAGCCAACAGAGGTTTTTAAATCTTTAACTGGGAGAAGTATCAGAATAAATCTTTGGTCGATTTAATTTGAGCCAGAAAAGGTCTACTGAGAGAAGTATCAGAATAAATCTTTGGTCGATTTAATTTGAGCCAGCAGAGGTCTACTGAGAGAAGTATCAGAATAAATCTTTGGTTGATTTAATTTGAGCCAACAGAGGTCTACTGAGAGAAATATCAAAATAAATCTTTAGTCGATTTAATCTGAGCTAGCAGATGTCTTTAAATCTTTAACTGTGAGAAGCGTCAAAGTAAATATTTGTCCGATTTAATCTGAGCCAGAAAGGTCTACTGAGAGAAGTATCGGAATAAATCTTTGGTTGATTTAATCTGAGTCAACAGAGGTCTTTAAATCTTTAATTGGAGAAGTATCAGAATAAATATTTGGTCGATTTAATCTTAGCCAGAAAAGGTCTACTGAGAGAAGTAATAGAAAAAATATTTGGTTGATTTAATCTGAGCCAACAGATATCTTTAAATCTTTAACTGGGAGAAGTATCAGAATAAATCTTTGGTCAATTTAATCTGAGCCAGAAAAATTCTACTGGAAGAAGTATCAGAATAAATCTTTGGTCGATTTAATCTGAGCCAAAAAAGGTCTATGCTCGA